AGAGAAAGAAATGATCAAATGAGAGGTAGACATGTGGGGTGTACCTGAGGCCTGCAGTTGGATCCTGCCATAAACAGCTTGCATGCTGTTGAAGTAAATTTGGGGTCCCATTAAATATCTTCTTTTTTTAATATAAATTTTTTATTTTTATTTATTTTTGGCTGCGTTGGGTCTTTGTTGCTGCGTGCAGGCTTTCTCCAGTTGCGATGAGCGGGGGCTACTCTTCGTTGCGGTGCGCAGGCTTCTCATTGTGGTAGCTTCTCTTGTTGCGGAGCACGGGCTCTAGGTGTGCAGGCTTCAGTAGTTGTGGCGCATGGGCTCAGTAGTTGTAGTGCACAGGCTCAGTTGCTCCACAGCATGTGGGATCTTCCCAGACCAGGGCTCGAATCCGTGTCCACTGCATTGGCAGGTGGATTCTTAACCACTGCGCCACCAGGAAAGCCCTAAATATCTTCTTTATGTTATCCTCAGGGTAAACTATGTATAAACACTACCAGATACTCTTTTTTAAAGGCCCAGCTGCTATTGCTTGTAGGTGGGCATTGATGTGCACACAGAATGCCCAGGTGTGGTGCTGAGTTGTCAACCCGCAACTCCTGCTTTCCAAGGCAGAGAAGCGCCACTACAGTGTGTTCTGTTACAGCCCAGACTGGTACTAACCTACAGGGGGTACATTTTAGGATTTGGTCTCTGTGTTTTGTTTGGGGTTTGTGGTAATTTGGGATGAGTGTCCTCATGGACTGTTTTATATGATATGGTTCAGAACCTGTTGTCTGACCTATCCTGGTCAGTTTCAGCCCAGGATGTGACTTTTGTCTCCCCTTCTAGATTGTGGACCCCAGGACCACATCTCACTCTTCTGCTACATCCTCTTCCACACCTTGCCTGGTGCCAGGCCCAGAGGGATGCACCCTAAACCTGAATCAAATTGCAAAGCCAAACAGATGCCAGTGGAAGGATTTGGTGGGATTTAATAGCAACCTATGAACTTGGGAAGCTAGGGATTAAGGGAGAATGAGTCTTTCCTATTATTCAAATTGTCAGAGTTGCTTTCCTTCCATATTCTTGTGTTGAAATCACTGCTAGAAACCTTTCTTGTCTAAAACAGGTAAGTAACCACCTTCAAACAGCCAGGGGGTCTCTTTAAAGCTGCCAGGTCCATATGTAGAGTTTTAATGGCAATAGGCCACTGATACTTTTTTCTTCCATTCCACCTGGGGAAAAATCCCCCAAGCCCACTTTACTCTGAGGCCAATGGACAGAGATGCGAAGGTCCACCTGGCAGTGTGGGCTGCTGGAGGGAGGACGTGACTACTGAGTGTCTCAGAGCTGACTGCACGGAAGACAGCCCAGGCCTGGCTCTCTCATCCCACATAGGACCAGGACAGGTCTGCCCACCCAGCCTGAGCCTCCCTGTGTGGCATCGCCAAGCTGGGGGCTATTTCCTCCCCTGCAGACCTGGAAGCAGTGAGTCTGACAGTGACAGCAATCTGCCCTGACAATCGGGTATGAACACAGGTGGGAAGACCGAAACACTTGCCCCTTCCCGTGAGTACTGGGCCAGATGTGCAGCAGTGACGCCCCTTCCAGAAGCAAGGACACCTTCTTACCCCTTTGGTGACATTTGCCTCTTGTAGAAGGGGCACTGCCCTTGGAAGGGCACATGCCTTAGATCATATAGTCGCAGGCAGTGGGGGACTCTTGGCCTGTGGCTCTAACCCACAGCTTTGCCCATTGGGCCACACCACCCCGCTACTGCCTGTCACCTGTGCTATCATCAGCTCCAACTGCTCTATCTAGAAAGTGCTTCTCTCTCATTCTCCCTTTTCTTTTTTTGTTCCCTGGGTCTATCTGTTTTTGTTTGTTTCTTGTTTATGTTGTTCCAGGCACACTTGTTGGGGAAGTAGACCAGGGAGGCCCCAGATACCTGGGCTGGGTGGACTGCTATCTCTGGTTGACACATCTGCCTGCAGGGCTCGCTCCTCCCTCACAGCTGGCAGCTGTCCACTGGGAGATGGCTGCGGCTGGGAATCTGCAGCGGCCCAGCTGAGGGCTGGCTCCCCGCCCCTGCAGCTGGTGGAGATGACGCCTCTGGAGTGCCAAGCCTCCCCCGCGTCACCCCAGCACACGCAGGGCCCTACAGCCCATTTCTTCTCTCCTCCTGTGGTTTCTTCTTGCTGCTCTTTGGTCAAGAACAAGAGGAAAGACTCTGGGGCTGCACCCTGTTATTATGCGACAGTCATTTACATCCTCGAGCTCTAAGTCAGGGGTCAGGAATGAACCCAAAAGTAGGCATCGCTGGGGAGAACTGAGCACACCTGCTCTGGTCTGGGCAGGGCAGGCGGAGGTGGACGTGGAGCCCAAGACCCTTCCCGTCTGCCTCCCGTGCCTCAGTTTCCCCATCTGAACCATCTTCTCCAAAACAACTTACTGCTCTCAGAGCAGAAAAATTGGAAGAACCTGAAATATTTAAAGAAAAAAATCACCCACAATTCTGCCATTAATATCTTGCTGTTTTCATCTATCTTTTTTATATAACTGAATCACCCTGCCTATGCAATTATGGATCCTGTTTTTAAACAACAACCTTTCCATAATGAACAAGTCATACATGTTCATTATGGAACATTCAGAAAATTCAAACACAAAGAAGGAAAATGACTTTTTGTTGCTCCCTTGAGAAATGACAAACAGTAATGTTTTGATGTTGTCTTTCTGGTCTTTTTAATAAGCATGATATACCAAAAGGAAAAATAACGCACAGTATTCATACTTTCCATACTTTGGGGCAACTTTTCCTTTTTCCCTTTATTATCCAGCATGAATAATTTTTATATTATTATATGTTCTTTTGCCTCATTTATGATGACAGAACATACAGATGTGCTATGTTTTATTTAACCAATCTCTATTGTTAGTCCTTTGGTTTGGTTCCAATTTTTCCCCATCAATAACAGGGCTAATTGTAGCTAAATATTTCCCCCAGTTCTGTATTAACACCTCTGAATACCCCAGGCCTGGCACCCTCATAGATTATGGGGAGATCGTGCCTGATAACATGTCTGAAATTACTTTGAGAAATATGTACATTGCTGCACATCTGTGAAGGGTTATTGTTTGTCAGTTAATTCAGGGAGTAGGTGGTGTTGGTGGAAATGGTGCATGTATTAAGCAAAGAATAATCATAAAATCAGACACTTAACATGGTACTTCCCGTGTGCCAGGTACTGTTCCAAGAGCTTCACATTACTTTTAACGTGTTTAATTCTTAAAACAACCCTGTGAGGTGAGTACTATTAATTGACCTACATTTAATTTTTAAATTTATTTTACTGAAGTATAGTTGGTTTACAATGCTGTGTTAATTTCTGCTGTACAGCAAAGTGATTCAGATATATACAGATATAGATATTCTTTTCCACTCTGGTTTATCACAGGATAAACAACTATTGAATATAGTTCCCCGTGCTATACAATAGGACCTTGTTGTTTATCCATCCTATATATAATAGTTTGCATCTGCTAATCCCAAACTCCCACTCCATCCCTCCCCCACCCCCACCCCCACCCCCCGGCAACCACAAGTTTGTTCTCTATGTCTGTGAGTCTGTTTCTGTTTCACAGATAAGTTCATTTGTGTCATATTTTAGATTCCACATATAAGTGATATCATATGGTATTTGTCTTTCTCTTTCTGACTTACTTTACTTAGTACGATAATCTCTAGGTCCATCCATGTTGCTGCAAATGGGATTATTTCATTCTTTTTATGGCTGAGTAGTATTCCATTGTATATATGTGCCACCTCTTTATTCACTCATTGTCGATGGACATTTAGGCTGTTTCCACGTCCTGGCTATTGTTAACAGTGCTGCTACGAACATAGAGGTTCATGTATCTTTTTGAATTATAGTTTTGTCTGGATATATGCCCAGGAGTGGGGTTGTTGGATCATATGGCAACTCTATTTTTAGGTTTTTGTGGAAACTCCATACTGTTCTCCATGGTGGCTGCATAAATTTACATTCCCACCAACAATGTAGGAAGATTCCTTTTTCTCCACACTCTCCCTAGCGTTTGTTATTCGTATTTTTTCATGATGGCCATTCTGACCAGTGTGGGGTGGTCCCTCATTATAGTTTTATTTTTCAATATCAAAAATCTCTAATAATTAGAGATGTTGAGTATCTTTTCATGTGCCTGTTGGCCCTCTGTATGTCTTTGGAGAAATGTCTATTTAGGCCTTCTGCCCATTTTTCAATTGGGTTGTTTGTTTCTTTGTTGTTGAGTTGTATGAGCTTAATTAACTTGGCTTTTAGATGAGGAAATTGAGGCACAGAGAGGTTGAGTGTCTTGCCCAAGGTCACAGAACTAGGAAGTGGTGGAGCTGGGATTCTAAGCCAGTCTGGCTTCCAAGTCTCTGCATGTAACCCTCTCTTAAGAAGCCAGTCCCCCTGAGCGTGGGCAACTGGGAAATGGGGGGTAGTGGTAGGGTAGGTATGAACCATGATTTTAGTGCACCCATGGAGTCCCACGTGATGGTAATAGGTACCTGACCCAGCATACCTTAAGGGAGCTCATCAGCCTTCAGGCTCTGCCTCAAAGATCAGAGCACTTGGATAACAGCACAGAAGTGATTATTCAAAACGAGATGTTATCTTTTAAGGGACACTCTATATTTAGGAATAAAATGACGTGATGTGTTTTGTTTGCTTCGAAATAACGCTGGTTGGGGGCAGGGTGGGGGGTGCATAATGAACAGGTGGGGTGTAAGTAATGCAAAATCAGCTGTGAGTTGAATTTGTTGAAGCTGAGTGGTTTGACTGGTGGATCTATGGGGGCTCTCTCTTCTCTTGTATTTGCCGGAAATTTGCCATGCTGAAACATTTTTAAAACATCTCAAGTCATTAGATAGTTCATGAATGATATTTGAGGGGATATTCCAACCCACAGTGTAAAGTCTTTCTTTCTTTCTCTCTTTCTTTCTTTCTTTCCCCCAGTATTGATCAGTTTGCAGAAACATCCCCAAAGGGTCCAGCTCTTCAGTGAGAATGTATGGAATGAGAGTTAGAGGTTTGTTCATTCATTCAAGAACTATATCTTCATCTTGAGCACAGGGATGAGCTGTGAGGGATATGGCTGAGTTTGGGAGAAAAGATACACAAAGGAAATGTTAACCACACAAGGTAAGCATTCAGCAAATGTCTCAAACCTTAGCAGAAGCTAAGGGGGTAAGGGAGGAGGGTGTGGGTTGTGTCCCCCTGCCCAGGGCTTAGAGTTCCTGAGGGAGGGACAGCTGAGCCCGCAGCCTGGAGAGCTCTCTTTTTCCTCACTCCCATCCTTCCCAGCTGAGTGCCCTAGGACTCAGGACTGTACAAGGGGTCAGGACTCTACATTTTGCAAAGGGAGATTTAACTTTTCAGCTGGCTGAACCAAAGCAAGAAAGCACCTCTCTTTCAACACCATCTCTTATCCTTATATGGTGGCAAACTTTCTGACAAATCTGGCTGCTGTGTATTTTTTCAGTGACTTAATTTGCCAGGAGGGCTAGCAGTGTATGGTATGTACGTAATCTACTCCAAAATGGATTTTACATTATAAGAGATAGATTAATAGAGAACAAAGCCCCCCAAAAGGTGAGGTGGGCCGGGCCTACGGACAATGAACTAGTGGAAGAAACATCTGTGTGCTCCGGAAGATCCTAGGTCTCTTAGGATCACATGCTCATCTTCTACCAATGAAAGCTCAATGAGGTTCCACCCTCCCCCACTCCCTCGTCCTGCCTTCTCCCTCCCTTGAAAGAGAGTGTTTAGTTTCCGAATTAACTCACTATGGACCACGCCAGGATTTAGGGCAAAACAGAAAACTGAGATCCGGAGCTCTGTAATTAGGCCTCCTCGTGGATTTCAAGCAGGGCCGATCTGTGAATATGCCTGAATTTTCCGGTCTGGAGGCAGCAGGAGAGGGCTGATCAGACGCGGCTAGTGAGGCCCCCAGTTTTCCTGATCTGCCCCCGCTGTTGTGGCATATGACCACAGCTCAAGAGCTGGGTCACCGCAGTCTCCTGCCCACGCCTGCGCAGTTGGCCTGGGGGTGCTGACAGCACTGCTCCGTAGGGGAGGGAAAGGGAAAGGTGAGCCGGGAGGAGGGCATGCCAGGAGTCAGGCTCTCTGTGGATTAGAGGAGCTGCCAGGAGGGCCCGTTGGAGGCAGAGCCCAAGGGTACTAGGCGCAGAGCAATTGGGGTCCTGCGTTCCTGAGTTAATTTCCATCTTTTCACAGACGGGCACACACGTTGGAATAGACAAGACAGAAATTTAAGCTGTCACTGCTCCCAACCAATCCTAAAAAGCAAGACTGAAAGGGGGCAAAAGCTCAATTTTTCAAAAGCTGTCTACCGGGGCAGAGACCTATGCCTGGAACAAGGCACCCCCCAAAGTGATGCAGCCTGGGGTTTCTTCACCGATGGGCAGGCACTCACTTTTCCTGGGCACAGAAGTTTTCGTGGCACCCATAATTCCACTACCTGGATTCTTCCAGTTTTTACATGGAAAGGCCTTCCCTCCCCCCCTTATTCTTGGCTTTAAAGACTCCTCCCAAATTTCACCAGTCTGCTAGGAGTTTTTTTTTTTTTTGCAGTACGCGGGCCTCTCCCGTTGTGGAGCACAGGCGCCGGACGCGCAGGTTCAGTGGCCACGGCTCATGGGCCCAGCTACTCCGCGGCATGTGGGATCTTCCCGGACCGGGGCACGAACCCGTGTCCCCTGCATCGGCAGGCGGACTCTCAACCACTGCGCCACCAGGGAAGCCCTAGGATTTCATTTTTACCGGTGAGATCTGTTCTCTTGCTTACGTGAAAAGGACCAAAACTATTTCCTGATGACAAGGCCAAATAGCTGTAGCTTGAGTCTGTTATCTCAAACCTGAATGTAACCTGAGGTGCATTCATTTTTAAAAAATGCCAAGTAAGGAATGAGGTTCTCCCAACTTACTGCACTGGTCAGATGCAACCTGGAGAATTATGTTAACTTCTGCATTTTACCTTTAAGAGAAATGTTGGCTATTTTATAATACTTCCAGAGGAGAGATCAAGAACTATGTCCCAAAAGGACTGTTCAGGAATGACAAGTCTGTGGAAGATAAAACTGAAGGGGACAGGAGAACCAGCTCCAAAGCAGTGAAGGCCAGTGTTGGCTCAAAAAAGCAGAACCAGGGCAAAGGGTGGGGGAGGGATAAGCTGGGAGACAGATTTTGACTTTATAGCAGCCAGAGCCTTCTAATAATTAGGCTATTTAAACATGGGAAGGGCTCAGGGAGGTAGTGAGTCAAGGCCTAGTCAGACAGTAGCCAAGCAGAGGCTGGACAGCCACTCCTAGGAGAAGTGCTACATGGGGACTCCTGCATTAGGCAGGAAAGGAGCTCTAAGATTCTGTTATTTTGTAACTCTCTGAAATGTAGGTCCTATACATCATAAATTAGATTAGAGGATAGACTACAAAATTTCAGTGGCTTTTTAAAAACATTTAGAGTTTTGTTTATAAAAATGAAGAATGAATGAAAGTAAAAAAATGAAAGCCATGGGTCATTTTTGTAGGCTCCTTTCAGCATTTTGATTTCATGTGTCTTTGTGTTCCTCTTAATTTCAAATACTGCTTTCTTTTACTTCTACCTATATGTCCTTTTATTCTCTCTATCTCTCCTTTTACACGGAACATTTTCATTTATTCCATGGGTGGTAGGTCTTTGGATCATATTGGAGGAATTTAAGGTCTGGTTATTTGGAAATGATTAGAGTAAAAAATCTATAATATCTTACCTAGCCTGGTGAGTGTTTCTTTGTACTTTTTCTCTCTTCTCCAACCACATTTTTTGGTCAAGACCATGTTTGGGTTTAAGAAAAATCATTAATGCTCATAATATTACGAGTAAAGGAAAAGAAAGTAGAATTGCCAGAATGATTCCGGAGGAATACACATGCAAGTACAACCAAACTAATCTTGAAAAAAAAAAGAAAAAGAAAAGAAAGAAATAATAAGGACTTTCCATAAAACTAGAATTGCATACACCATAATTACAATAATTGACATAATGCTGGGAAAATGACACTCATCGATTAAAAGTGAAAAGTCCAGAAAGAGACTCAAATCAATATATAATGAAAGCCCCATTTAAAATCTGTAAGAAAAAAGGTGACTTTCATGAAATGATTAACTCTTTGGAAAAGAAGAAGGTCACCCCAAATTTCATAAATAAAACCATGGAAGACACCTGAAACATTGTAAATCAACTATACTTCAATAAAAAAATAATAAAAAATAACAAAACCATGGAAGTACTGGGGAAAAGTATAGGTGAACATTTATATATTCTTTGGGGTAAAGACTCTTAAAAATAAAAAACACCTAAGAAAGTATCTGAAATAAAAAATATTGATACATTTAATTTTAAAATGTCTGTGCCTCAAAACCACAATAAACCATATAGGCAAATAGCAAAACAAAAAGGAAAGTATTAACAACATACATGAATAAAAGTTAATGTCATAATATATAAAAAGCTCTTACTAATCAATAAGATTAGGAGCATTGTCTCAATGGAGGACAGAGCAAAGCATAAGAATATAAATCAACTCAGAAGAAACACAAGTGTCCAATGAACATGTGGCAATTGAATCTTGAACTGATGGCAAATTAAAGCTATGAGATGCTATTTATTTTTTTTGTCTATCCATTGGACAACATACTTTTGTTTAATGTAAACATTTAGCATTGACTTCAGTTTAGGAAACAAGACATTCTCATATACTGATGTGTGTGAATTGATGCAACCTTTTGGGCAGCATACTTGGCAATATATCTCAGAAACCTTGAAAATATTCAGTCCTCTTTGACAAAGGAAGTCCACTTAGAAGAATTTTTTTCTAAAGAAATCAATAGGGCTGTATGCTAAGGGTCAGCTGTAGGAATGTTTGTATTGAGCAGAAACTAGAACCAATCTAAATGTCTAATGGTCCAATAGTGACCATTTAATCAATATTGATATGTCCTATGTAGCCATTAAAAATGTTGTAGAAGACAATAAGTGCTGGAGAGGGTGTGGAGAAAAGGGAACCTTCCTACACTGTTGGTGGGAATGTAAATTGGTGCAGCCACTATGGAGAATGGTATGGAGGTTCCTCAAAAAACTGAAACTAGAGTTGCCCTATGATCCAGCAATCCCAGTCCTGGGCATATATCCTGACAAAACTATAATTCAAAAAGATACATGCACCCTTATGTTCATAGCGGCACTATTCACAATAGCCAAGATATGGGAACAGCCTAAATGTCCAACGACAGATGAATGGATAATGAAGATGTGGTACATATATACACAAAGGAATACTATATGAAATAATGCCATTCGCAGCAACATGGATGGACCTAGAGATTATCATACTAAGTGAAGTAAGTCAGAAAGAGAAAGACAAATATCATATGATATCAGTTATCTGCAGAATCTAAAATACAACACAAATGAATTTATCTATGAAACAGAAACACACAGGCGTAGACAACAAACTTGTGGTGGTCAAGGGGGAGGCGGCTGGGGGAGGGATGGAGTGGGAGTTTGGGATTAGCAGATGCAAACTATTATATTTAGGATGGATAAACAACAAGGTCCTATTGTATAGCACAGGGAACTATATTCAATATACTATGATAAGTCATAATGGGAAATAATATGAAAAAGAATGTATATATATATGTATAACTGAATCACTTTGCTGTAGAGCAGAAATTAATACAACATTGTAAATTAACTATACTTCAATAAAATTTTTAAAAAGTGCTGTAAAAGAACATGGAAAGATGTTCATAGTGTATGTTTCTGTATATTTCTGTTGCTGTTGTTGAAATAACTGTCATTTATTTATTTTGTTCAAGTTGGTTTGTTTTTTAAAAAATCGTGTACACTTTGAGTAAAAGAAGCGAGATTTAGTCTGGAAGCTTAAAGGACTGGAGCAGAATTGTGGCTGCAGGGTGCCCTGGGTCTCAAACCATCCTCCTGGATACAACCGCAAAGCACTCAGCCTCTGGCCTGGAGAACTTCTGGCCACGCACTGTGTTTTGCAAGCTCTGTGTCGGTGTTACATTATGCACCAGGGGTGGAAGAATGGACTAAGGGTGAAGCGGAGCAGCTGGCAGCCCTCTTGGGAACTCCTCCCTGTCAGGTGGCTTTTGTTCCATGTCCTCCAAGTCTGGAGCTGTGCAAGGCCCTGGACGGTTAATCAAGTCAAATCCAAGAGCTGTCTCACCCTCTGGCTTATAGTAAACATGCCTTCAGGCACAAGTGCCCAAGAGCTGGACAGTGATGCCGGAGCAGGCACTGGGGAGCCAGCATCTTTTAGGAGAGACTCTGTTTTCCCCTCTCTTCCCCTTCCCTCCTCACCCCTCCCCTCCTTAGCCCTTTCCTCTTCTCCCCCTCTTCCCCCTTCCTTCCCATCCCCTTCTATATCCTCCTTTAGGGATAGGCCTGAGGCCAATACAATTTGGGAGAGGAGAACCTCTTTAAGAAAACAAGTACACAATAATGAAATCAAATACAAGTACAGGACCTTGAAAGGGTTCTGTCTAAGTGAGAGGCCTGAACTTAAGCTTCATAGGCTTCATGGTAAATCCACCTTTAATCCTGAATCTGGTTTTTATTGTTTGCATGAATTTCCTTTTAGCTTGTATTATGTATGTTTTCCTAAACTACTTTAAATATTGTTTTACATATTTTTTATTTTTTTGCGGCACATGGGCTCCTCACTGTCGTGGCCTCTCCCATTGCGGACCACAGGCTCCGGACGCGCAGGCTCAGCGCATGGCTCACAGGCCCAGCCGCTCCGCGGCATGTAGGATCTTCCCCGACCAGGGCATGAACCCGCGTCCCCTGCATCGGCAGGCGGACTCTCAACCACTGTGCCACCAGGGAAGCCCTATAAATATTTTTAAAACATCTCAATGTACTAAATCTTATCCTGGTATACAAATGTAATATTCTTTCAATAAAAAGCTGTATATCTAAAACAATTCAAGTGCTCAGAATAAACTGTATGAAAACATGCAAGTTCACTAAAGATGACCCAAACCCTGTTGTACAGGGATAGAGATTTAAAGGTTATTTTATTGTAAAATACATTGAATTTTCTGTATTCCCTGGTTATCATACATTTTCTCCTTTAAAAAAAATGATGTAAGTCTTAATTTTTATGCCATTTGTTAATTTACCCACTAGTTACCTTGTAAATGAGAAGTCACAATAGCACTGAACTTTAACTAGTTTTGATTTAAAAGTTTGGTACTGTGAGGCAACAACTTAAATTTTTCATTTTAGTCATTTAAAAGGCATTTAGAGCTTCAAGAATAATTTTGTACGCAATGTTGTTTTAAATTCTGACTAATCTCGTAGAAATGCAATACTGTCACTATTAGAAATCCTGAAATTCTATTAGATGTTCTTTAAGACCACACACAGACTGGCTATTTGATCCCTTTTCACTTTGACTCTTTTTAAGAATAGGACCTGTTGTTTTGGATTACCACCTGAGAATTTCCTGGATTTACTCCTGGATGCAGGAGATAAGAAAACGTTTAATTCATAACTTTTATATTAACGAATGTAGTGCAAAAAATAAAGCTCACACAAAAACTAAGT